CGCTGCTCACCACAATGTTGTTGTTGTTGTTATGTGCCATTGAGTTGGACCTGACTCATAAAGACCCCTCCTTGGGTTTCCGAGATGATACCAATACAAAACTAGATTGCCCAACGTTCCACCTGAGGAGTGGCTGGTGGGTTTGAACCGCCAGCCTTCTGGTTAGCAGTCAGCTGCCTTAGGCAACAGTTTATAAAAAATTTTCTTTGTGAACTACGTTAGGCCAGTTAACTTAGTTTTCTCCCAAGACTATGGTCATAAGTCCCTGAGCCAGTAACTCATTCCCATAAGGTGTTTGATTATAGCTAAGAAGTTTTCACAATTCCATCCCCCATTTACTATATACCCAGATATATTGGCAGCACATGTAAATACACATGTAGAAATATTCTCTACCAAACTTATATATGGCCGTTGATGTAGTCCATTTACCTATCCATACCTGTTAGCTTGCATATCTGCCTGTGTATCCATTGTTATCACTGATATTGCCAGATTGTGTATGTAATAGTATTTACCTTTGTTCTCCATAACTCTGTGCACCTCTCAGTGTCTTCCTTTGCGTTAGTGATATTGTGCTGATCACCCTTTATTGTATATTGTCTTTTCTTTCACCCAAATTAATACATATCATTTATCTAGTTAAGGGGCTCTGGTGAAGCTGTGGTAAGACATTCAGCTGCTAACCAAAAGGTGGGCAGTTCAATCCCCCCATCTGCTTCACAGAAGAAATCTGCTTCCATAAAGATTTACAGCCTTGGAAACCCTATGGAGGTCACTATGAGTTGGAGTCAACCCAATAGCAGTAGGTTTCGTTTGGTTTATCATATAGTTAGTGATTATCTGTCCCCTCTTCTCCCATCCCTGGTAACCATAAAAGAATGTTTCTTTCTATGTGTAAACCTTTCCTTGACTTTTTATAATAGTGGACTTATATGATATTTGTCCTTTTGTGATTGATTTCTTTCACTCAGCATACTGTCCTCTAGGCTTATCCATGGTATGAGGTTTTTTTGTAATTTGTTATTACTCTTTAATGTTACATAGTATACCATTGTGTATATATGTACCATAGTTTGTTTATCCGTTTATTCACTGATAGCCACTTAGGTTATTTCCATTTCTTTGCTATTGTGAATAATGCTGCCATAAAATTATTGCAAATATATCATTGTAGTAGTTAGGTGCCATAGAGTAGAGTCAGTTTCAACTCATGGCGACCCTATGCACAACAGAATGAAACACTGCCCGGGCCTGCACTATCCTCAGAATCATTGCCATGTTTGAGCCCAGCACTGAGGGCACTGTGGCAGCCAGTCTCATGAAGGTATTCCCCTTTTTTGCTGTCCCTGTACTTTACCACATGTGATATCCTTCTTGAGGGACTGGTCCCTTCTGACAATATGATAAAACTATGAGAGGTGAAGTCTGGCCATTTTCCTTTCTAAGGCGCATTTGAACTGTATTTCCTCCAAGACAGATTTGTTCGTTCTGCTAGCAGTCCATGGTACATTCAGTATTCTTTGCCACCACCACAGTTCACATGCATCAGTTCTTCTGCACTCTTCCTTATTCATTGTCCAACTCTCAAATGCATATGAGGCTATTGAAATAACATGGCTTGGGTCAGGCGCACCTTAGTCTTCAAAGTAACATCTTTGCTCTTAAACACTTTAAAGAGGTCTTTTGCAGCAAATTTACCCAATGCAGTATGTCATTTGATTTCTTTACTGCTGCTTCCATGGGTGTCGATTGTGGATCCAAGTAAAATGAAATCCTTGACAACTTAAGTCTTTTCTCCATGTATCATGATGTTGGCGAATAATATTGAAAATACCGTGGACTGCCAGAAGAACGAACAAATCTGTCTTGAAAGAAGTACAGAAGTGAGAGTGGCCAGACTTCATCTCATGTACTTTGGTCATGTTGTCAAGAGGGACCAGTCCCTGGAGGAGGATATCATGCTTGGTAAGGTAGAGGGTCAGCAGAAAAGGGGAAGACCCTCAACAAGATGGATTGACACAGTGGCTGCAACAGTGGGCTCAAGCACAGCAAAGATTGTGCTGATGGTGCAGGACTGGGCAGTGTTTCGTTCTGTTGTACAGAGGGTCGTTAAGAGTTGGAACTGATTCAGTGGCGCCTCACAACAGACCTTAATGCTTTAACTCCCAGATTACTTAAATGAAAAACTTGATCTAGTAAATTAGACTCCTAACTTGCCAAATTTAGAACTACAGCAATAAAAAAGGCAGCATTATTATTAATAATACATACATATATATATATATATATATATATATATTAATTTAGCAAGTTTAAGCTATGAGTTGGGGCAACTCGACGGCACATAACAACAACAACAACAGTTCTGTTTATTTGAAGCAAAGCTGTATAAACCAAATATCTCTTAGTCACTTTGTGTACAAGATGTGAAAAGCCAATCTCATCATCATCTCATTTTACTTGTTCTCTTAACAAAACCTTCGTGCTTCCAATTTCACATTCCTCTAGAACTTCAGAGCTGGGCAGGACCTTCTTATCTGATCCTTCCCACTCCTCCCTTTACAAAGAAGAAAACTGAAGCCTAGAGAAATTAAGGGACTTGCTTGAGGTCATGCCAGCAGCAGGAGGCTAGGTGCTGGTACAGAGAGCTCCCGCACACCATGGTTCTTTTCTTGGTTGGTAATCCTTCAAACCCTTTTCTAAACTGTCACCAACTATTACTATTCCCTTGAAATGTCTCTTGGATTCCCTGCTTTTCCATTTCTTCCTGCCTAATCCAGGCCTTCATCACTTCATGTCAGGAAAAGCCTAACTGAGCACTTGTCTCTGGAACATCCATTTTACCAGATTGATTTTCTCTAATTACCACTGTCAGCATGCCACTCCTATGCCCTGAAGCTGCCAGGAGTTCCCTGCTTCCTGTGGCAATAAATCTCAACGTTCTTCCCATCATGTGCTGGGTCCTCTGTGGCCTGGCTTCACTGTACATGCCCAGTTTCATTTCTGTTTTCTCCCCATGAGCCTCAAAGCCCAGAGCCTTCTCTGTTTTCTCCACAAGTCAGGCATGGCTCATTTATGCCTTTAGTGTGTTCTGTTCCTCCTCTTAGTGTTCTCCTTACCCTTCCAAATACTCTGCTTTCATAGGCCATGTCCAGCTCCCACCACCTTTCATTGCTTTCCTTGATTACTCTAATGATAAGCCAGTGATCCCCCTTTATTCCTAAACTTTATTATTATTGTTATTATTATACTCTGCCATGTAGCTTTGCACATAACTTCCTCTCTTGTACTGCTCTCTGGTTTTGCATTGGATTTGTGTTGCCTTCTCTGTTGCATTTAATGCTCTTGAAAACAAGGTATATGGTTATACTTTTCTCATGCATTTTATGTTTTGGGGCACAGCCGCGCAGTGGTTAAAGCCCCCAGCTACTGACAGTTCAAGCTCCTCTGCAAGAGAAAGATATGGCACTGTGCATCCATAAAGACTTGGAAACCCTATGAGATAGTTTTTCACTGCCCCATTGGGTCACCGTGACTCAGAATTGACAGGAGTGAGTTGGTAATCACTGGTCAGGGGCACTGAAGGTTCAGGGGTCAAATTCTCACCTTCTATGCAAGAGACCTAGCCAGTGCACCTCATACACAGCCATCATCTGTTCTTCAGTGGAAGCTGAACAGGTTTCCACAAAGCGTCCAGCCAAGATGGACTAGGAAGAAAGGCCTGGCAACCTATTTCTTGAAAATCAGCCAATAAAAACCCTATGGATCACAATGGTCTGATCTCCAACTGATCAAGGGAATAGTGCCAGTCAGGACAGCCTTTCCTTTCGTTGTGTGATAGGGTTTCCGTGCATTGGGGTTGACTCAACAGCAGCTAACAACAACAAATAAGTGGTCAGTAAATACACCTTGGTCATTAGGGATTCTCTGAGCTTTTGAAATATATTCCCAGGGCTACAAGCAGCTCAGACATTTTATAGTGTTTGCAAGTTGTGTCAGGATCAGCTAATATTGCAGAACAGTGCTCTACTGTCTTCCAAATGTGGTAGGATCACTGGCGTGTTAATGCCCCTCTGGGGGATTGGCTGTATAGGTAAGGTGCTTACAGGAAGGTTTACAATTTGTTTTGGGATCAGTGGCTGGGAGGAAGGGAGTTGGGGACCTCCCACACACACTGACCCTTGGAGTTTATGGCAGGTAATAGTTACTTGAGAATGTATAGGACTAACGTTATGTCACTCTGGCAGATCCTCAGTACCCCAGTGTGAAATGTGAACTGGCCCGGCTGCCCTGCCACTGGGTGTCCTTGAGCCAGTAATGACTTTGTGCCCTCTTTTCTATAATCCTGGCACAGTGTACTAAGATTTAATCTGATGTTTTCTAAAATATTTTTTTAGAACTTGGCAAGTACTGTATCTTCCCCAAATGTTAACCAGTTCCTGGTATTGGAAAAAAAAGGAGCATAGTAAGTTACTTACAGAAGGCTGGGCTGGCTTTCTGAATTTTTGCTGCCCCTTTTCCATGACTCTCTACCTTCTCTGACTGTCATTTCTGGACTGAGGCAGTACCTTGGACTCTGTTCTCTCCCAAGGCACCTCTATGAGAATTTTCCTTGCAGGCGATTCACAAACATGGATTTTTTTTTTTTTTTCTTTAATGTCAGCGGGACGAATTCCACCCATACAAAATAGTTTGGCCTCTTTTCCTCTTTGGTATAAAAGAAAATTGGCAAAGGCTTAGGCGAGGGTAAAGCTGACAAGCTCCAGGGTGGGAATAAGTGCAGCGCTCTGTGCTTTGATTCATCCTCGTTGCTCATCTTGTATTCTGAATCCTCTCCCCACCCAGGAAGTCTTCTCCCACTGTGACACCTGAAGGTGTTTCCATCCTGCTCTCTGTGTTAACATCACCAACACACACAGTGAAATGCTGTCTTTCTGCATTTTACAGAGTCACACAACTAGAGTCACTTTTTATTTTTTTTGTTTGAATCCTTTTAGGTGGATGGAAGTCTGCTTAGTTGAAGAATTGCCACCAACCACTGAACTGGAAGAAGGGCTCAGGAACGGAGTTTACCTTGCAAAGTTAGCCAAGTTCTTTGCCCCTAAATTGATATCAGAGAAAAAGATCTATGATGTGGAACAAACACGTTATAAGGTAACTGAGATCTAATTGATCTTGCCTTCCAGCTAAAAGCAAAAGTTTGGTGTTTCACTTCCTTTCCCTCCTTTTACTCTTAGTGTTTCTAGTAGGCTTTTGGTGGGGAGTGTGAGGGGTGAAGAGTAGATGTCCTTGCTCTCTAGAGCCTATTAATAATCATTCCTGAGGCTGCAGCAGTTTTAAAGGCAAAAGGTTTCTATTTCTGGGCAGAGGGTGAAAGACCTCTGATTTGTTTGGATTCCCTGCACCCCTCCCATTCCCGTTTACTCCCCCCCCCCCTTTTTTTTTAAAACCACCAACACAGTTTATTACTCCCTATAGTCTCATCAAGGAATAAAGTACCCACCTAGGGATTGAACTTGTGACCCCAAAGAGTTCAGCCCAATGTGATAAAACCAGTAGTAATATAGAAGAGTAAGGTAGGAATTCCTTTCCATTAGGTGTTTAAAACAAAAGTAAGACTAAGCTCTTTATATTCAATTTGGTTCAAGAATTGTTTCATGGATAATTTGGAAAAGACCAGAAAATTAAAAGACTCTTAGAGACCTTTTAGAGAAACAACAACAACAACAAAATAGAGCACCACATTTAGGAGCATTGGGGTGACCAGTGGGGGAAGAGAGAGGGAGGAGACAAAACACAAATACTAATCTTATATTAATTTTCAAAATCCCAATCTTTTAGACATGCAGATTGAAGTATTTCCTGGTAAAATGATAGTGTCTACGATTTGTTTCAGAATAACAGGGAGAGAGTTGGATAGATAATACAAAACTGGCCGTGAGTTCAGATGTTCAAGGTTGTGTGATGGGTACATAGGAGTTCATTATACTATTCTGCCTACTTTTTTCATGGTTGAAAATTTCCATTAAAGAATGAAGGAGGGAAAAGTAAACACCAAGAAACCTTAAAGAGCTCCTCCATTAGATTTATCTTCAAAAGGGAATTTTAAAATGTGTAGTGTACAATCCTAGAATATGTGATTTCTTATCAACTAAGAATCAAGCTTCTTTGAAACTTGATTCCTTATTTTCTTAATATATTGTATTTTGTTCTTTATATCAACATTTTTTATCTGCAGATTTTCAAATATCATTAAACATTATTTCTCTTACAATTACAGGGACAATGTTCAGTGTAGTTGAAAATGGAATGATTTCTCATT